ATTATGAAGTGAACAGAAAAGAAGAGGCAGATGGTGGTAAAAGATGACACCAGAGAAGTAAGTAATTGGCAAATCACAAAGAGGTAGGACATCACGTTAAGCAATAACAAGTCACTGCAGGGCTTAAAGTCACCAGAGGCTGGTGAGACAATCAGATTTGACTTCATACCAATCTATCAACTATGTAGAGAAAGAAACTTGGAGGCAGGAGTGGGGACCAGCTGGAATCTATTTCTCTTGTGCAGTGAGACAAAATGAGGCTATCCATTAAAACGTGTTGGAGCTAAGGTATCTGTGAGATCACCAGGTAAAGACGTTAGTGACAGCTGTGCATCCAACTTTGTGTTGAGGAAGAAGAATCTGGACTGCAGGAGACTTGAGAGTTGTCAGCTTGGAGATGGTACTTGAAATCTTGACTGAGAAAGAGATCCCTTGGAGAACCTGAATAATAGTGAGGAGAGTGATAACTAAAGATGGGATTTGGGAGATAATCAATTTTTAAGGGGTGGCCCAAAGAAAGGGCCCATAAAGACAAAGTAAAAAGATAACCATGGGAATGCAATGTTATTGAATCCAAAGAAAAAATTTAAAGACGGAGGGAACGTCCTTCACAATCAAATGCAGCAGATGATTCTAGTAAAATAACCGATAAATATTTGTTGAATTTGTCTAACAGTCAATGAAAATAGCAACAGAACAAATGCCAGTAGGATAGTGGACACAAGTCATTCTACTTTGAATCTGGAGTTAATAGAAGGTGGAGAGATTGGCCGTCTGGGATGTTTGGGATGGTTAGGTAAAAAAATAATAAGGCAAAGGCATAAAATAAAAATAGTTCATATGCTCTGCCACAGTATTTAGACTGGGACTAAAAAGAAAGGTTGCATTTGATTAGATAATGGGTTTTAAAATTTCAGAAATGGAGCAGTTTAGATGATGACAAGACCCAAGGCATGGCCTTGAGAATAAGTAAAAATAAGTCTAAATTGAGATTATTTGCTGAATTATCAGATTTTTAGAGTGATGAGTGAAAATATTCAACTACAAGTGTATATTTTTCTGTAGAGTTCTGACAGTTGTTGCTGTATATAGGAGGTGCATAAGTGTTTATGATCACCTGGTATGATTTTTTTTCCTTTAAATTTGTACTTTGAACAATTGCTACTGTGGTTTTCATTCTGGTCATAGTTATGATACTTTAAAAAAAACTTTGTTTCAGTTTTCTCTATTTTATTTTAAATGTGTATATTATAGGAAAAATATTACAATACCTTTTAAAAATCCAGTTTGAGAGATAGTTGCTTTATCAATATGTTAACCAATTTAACAATAATAAGCATGTCTTATAATATTAGGATTTAGTAGTTATCTTTGTTAATGTGTTTAAGTGACTATATTTTCTGTTTCTTTATTTGCTATCTTTTTGAAAATCTTTCATTGAACAGGTTAAGTTTTTTCTCTTTTTTTCCTTTTTGTTACTCTTAATATTTTACAACACATAGTTATATTTTTCTATATCAATATTTTTGTTTAGCAAAAGCTGTCATACCCTTAAGTAAAAATCTACCTTAGTTTGGTCTCATATTCTTCTTGTTCTCATCTATCTTTCTGTGTTGATATTTATAGAGTTTAAACATTAATATCTATTTATGTATAGAATTTATGTGTGTGTATATATACATAAAATCTATACATATCAATAGACATGTATAAATATTGTATGTATATATACATATTTCTTGTTATTTAGTTCATGGAAAATTTGCTCATTTTTATATTTTGTGTTAATTTCATTTATCTTATGACTGGGGTACTTCATTAAAGACTGTTTTTAAAAAGTCTTTTGCCTTAAAGGCTCTGATTTACTATGCCTAAGAAAAATTTAATTTCACCCATATACGTAAAATGAATACCTTGCTGGCTATAAATGTCTGGGTTCAAATTTCTTTACCTTTACTATTTCAAATATTATGCCATTGTCTTCTTGTACTAAGTGTTGTTGAATAGTTTAATTCTTGTCTTTTTATAAACTTTTGTTTTTAAATCTCTGAAATCTCATAAGTGTTTTCCTTTGTCCTTGAATCTTGGATTTTCCACACTTATTTCTCCATTTTCATTACTGTCAAGCAATTTGCTCTTTCTTTGTATTTTATTGCCTTAATTTATTATTTTGAGAGTGCTTATTTTGCTGGTTTGTAATTCTTATTTTGTCTGATCTGTTAATTGCCTCACTGGATATAAAGTGAAGTGTCTTTAAAAAAAAAAAAAGCAATTGGATTCCAAGATTTTTAGTTATATAGATTCCTGAATACTGTGAAACAAGGTTTTAATGTCAATGAAGATAATGGAAAAACCAAAGTTTCCTATAAATCGGGGAAAAGATGTTAGCCAGATGACAGAAATGAGGGCTAATGGTGTTAAAGCAAAAGCAGAACCTCCAGAGGAAGATGAACTTTTTTTTACATATAACAAAGAAATTTTATTTCTGGAATAGGGGAAACCTAAGCATGTGTTTGATCAAAGGGGAAAAATGAAAGATGTAAAAGAGTGGTTCATTTATGGTGTAAGTAAGCTTCTAGACAGAAAAGGAATGAATGGATTATGTGTGATTTTACCTGAAACCACTAAAAGTACTCAAACAAAAAGCGTTCCTCATAAGTGCAGAAATTTCTGTTGGATATCCCAGTCCTTGAAGATTCTGCAATGTCAGTTCCTTGCCTATTTTAAAAATTGTTTTAATTTTTTAAGATGTGGGGTACAATTCAGGATTAGGTATACAAGTGGTCATTGTACAGGTAAAGTCTGGGCCTTCCTTTGGTGCCCACTTTACCTAGTTTGAGATCAGTTACCCTTACTGATGTTATGTCCTTCCCCTCCCTCCACTGGCAGTGTCCGCTACTGCTAATCCCTTTCTTGCAGTATAACAGTAAATGTTCAGGATCTGCTTATGAGTGAGACCATAAATCACTCTACAAAAAAGATACCTGCACACACATGTTTATTGCAGCACTAATTCACAATAGCAAAAACACGGAACCAACTGTACTGCTCATTGCAACTGAACTGGATAAAAAAAATGTGGTACATATACAAGATGGAATATTATGCAACCACAAAGAAGGACAAAAGTATGTACTTGCAACAACTTGTATGGATTAAGAGTCTATCATACTCAGTGACCTATCCTTGCCTATTTTTGACTTCATTCAAACCCCTCTTTACTCTTGGGCACTCTGCTCTATTCCCATGTGTTTAGCTTGGTCGTAACAGGTCTTTATATTCTGTGTTTCCTTTCCAAGGTTCACCCTTCCCCATGTTATTCTTGTCTGTTCAAATATCGGTAAGTCCTTCTCTGATCCACTTTCTAAAATAACATCCATTCTCATCAAACTCTGTCACCTATCTGCTTTAATTTCTTCAGTTCTCTGGTTATTATTAAGCTGTTTATTGTTTATTTCCTTAAGATTTTGAGCTTTATGAAGACAAGAACTTTATGCTGGTGGCTATGGTAGCTCTAGTTGTTTCCAGAAGGCCTCACAATAACCATCGCTTAAGTAACATTTGCCAAATTATGTATGAATAGTGTTATAATTTTTTGACGTATTTTAATAAAAGACTGCACAAATTGATTATCATGAGTTCTCAGAAGTCTTGCTTAGAAGATTGCTTCAATGGAATTATGAAATATTTTTACGCGTCTACCAGAGTGTACTCTTAGTTGTATCTGCACATGTCATAAGAAATTCATAGTACTATGGCTATATAAGCTAAGCATTCTCAATATCTTTTAGTTTATATCACATTTAAAAAATTTCACTAAAGGGAAGATGATGGAAGAAAAGAGAGGTAGGGCTAGAGGAGAGAGAGAGAGAGAAAGGGGGGGAGAGAGAGAGAGAGAGAGAGAGAGAGAGAGAGAGAGAACGAGCGGCTAGGATATCAGTCCTTCCTTTGTCACTCATCATCGGGGACAAGCTATTGAATTTTTTTCTCACTTTCCTCATCTGTGTAATGGAAATAATAACAGTATTCATTTCTTTTTTTTTTTTTTTGAGTTGGAGTCTCACTCAGTCGCCCAGACTGGAATGCAGTGGCCACTCCCAGCCACCGCAGCCTCCCTGGACTCCAGCGATCCTTCCGCCTCAACCTTCCAAGTAGCTGGAATTACAGGCACGCGCTACCATGCCCGGCTAATTTTTTTAAAAAAATTATTGTAGGGATGAGGGTTCACCAAGTTGCCCAGGCAGGTCTCGAACCCCGGCGCTCAGGCAATTCACTCACCTCGGCCTCCCAAAGCGTGGGATTACAGGCTGAGCCACCAAGCCCGGCCAACAGTATTCATTTCATAGGGTTGTTATCAGGATTAAATGAATGATGTAACTATGCAAAGCACTTAGAACAGTGTCTGGTATATCTTATGCACTACATAGGTGATTTGTATTGTTACTATTTAAGATGCCCATGCTGATTGTTGTTATTGCTAGTGTTATTATCTATCATTATTATTATTGGTCACTAGAGAAGGTAGGATAGTATGTTTCCAGGTATTTTATGTCCAAGTGAACTTGATAGCCAAAATTTAACCATGAATATTTGGATATCCTCCTGTAAGATGAAATCAAAACATTTTAAAAGAAAAATAAAGTTTGAAGGATGTCATCTCTGTACATATTAAGTATAGGGCTTTGTCTGACTTGAGGTACTTCATGATAACCACTATATTTACGTAGATACTTATTTCCAAGGGACTAGCTCAGTGTGCTTTGCCGAGTTGTCACCTGTCAGCCTATGGAAGGAAATGCATGAAAAAGCAACAAATCAAAAAGTGTCAGAATTACCTCATTTTCAGTTCTAAAATATTCTAGGTTTTGATATACATACAACCTCAATTTAAACTCTCTAAAAAACAGTTAAAGATTGCTAAAATTTTTCTGTCTGATTTCAGACTAAAGCACAACTTTTATCATTATGCACAATATTCTAAATGTATTATATTTTGTTAGATGGAGGACGTTATTGAGGATGTAATCAGTATGGAATCAAGTTTTAAAGAGAAAGGAACAGACTCTCCTCTGCTAATGCAAAGAACAGTAAGTGTTTCCAGACCCGAAGAGGTAATTGAAACAGAAATAAAGAGCCTCTGAAGCTAAAAATAAACTGATTAGCAAATGGTGTTTTCTTCTGTGCTTTTGAAACAGACAAAAGATTGATATTAGAAAATATTTGTTGATGCATTAAAAAAGAACTATATAATGTTAGTGAGGAAGATTAAATAGGGTTTGTACTAATATCTTTTTCTATCTCTGTGTTTATCTAATTTCTATATACGTGCATCTAATTATGCATCTAATCAGCTATAGTATTTTCTGTAAGGAATTTAACCTTTAGATTTTCTATTTGAAACACCGAATATACTCAAATACCTACATACGGTCATAATTAAATTCTTACTATTTTACCAAGACCAGCAGCTATCAGATTCAGAGGTTCCATACCTTTGTAGAAAAAAAGAAAAACACTACAGCAGGAAAAATATAAATTTACTTCTAAGCCAATATCCAGAGGGTAAAGTTAAATTGAGAAAAGATAGAAAAGGCTTCACCCTACTTTAAAGCATGTAGATAGACTTCTATGTTGAAATCAGTACAAATTCCTGGAATGATACTCAATGAAAGGAAGATATCTTATCTCCTATTTAATTGCTGTTGCTTTCTGATTCTTCATTTCTTAATGACAAAAATGGTATCTGTACAGAGTGTGTATAAGCTCTTTTGACACATTTTGAAGGATTATTGTTTATATGTTTATGGTTTATGACTTTTTAGAAAATAAGAGAGAAAGGAATCTGGAAGATTGTAACTGAATTGTTACTTTAAACATTTCATTTAAAGAAAGCAAATCCTGACTATGTTGAGTATAGTGGACTGTTCATCAATAAGTCAATAGGCTGGGCTATGTTATGACTGATGTTTTAAATTTAGTGTCTTAAAAATATTGGTGATAGCCGGGCTCGGTGGCTCAACCTGTAATCCCGCGCCTTTGGGAGGCTGAGGTGAGTGGACTGCCTGAGCCCGCAGGTTCGAGACCCGCCTGGGCAGCGAGACCTCATCTCTACTAAATCAAAAATCAGCCGGGCGTGGTAGCGCGCGCCTGTAATTCCGACTACTTGGAAGGCTGAGGTGGAAGGATCGCCAGAGCCCAGCAGGTTGAGGCTGTGGTGGCCGGGAGCGGCCACTGCACTCCAGTCTGGCGACAGAGTGAGACTCCAACTCAAAAAAAAAAAAAAAATTGACAATAGTATCCTTTTTTTTACTTTATTCATTCTTAAATAGACGATCTAATGAGAAAAGTATTTCTCTCTTCCTTTTCTCTGGCATGCAGGACTGTCACATAATGCAAATCACTAACACTAATAATACCTAAGAAATATTAGATGAAGTTTAAAAGGCTGGTTTTTCTTGCATGCTTTTTTTCTTTCTTTTTTTTTTTTTTAGGATGCAGTTGACAACTTTCTACCTTTTCTCTTTTCAGATTTTAAGTAGTACGGTGACATAAGAGCTCACTAATTCTTTAGATAAATGTGTTATTAATGCTAACTTTCCCCTAATTTTGCAGCATAAAGATGCTATTTTTTTAACTAATATTCAACTTCTGAGTTTGAGGAAATGATATTAACTTCCTGCAATATTTCTATTCTTTTTAAAAAAATTTTTTATTTTAAAGATGTGAGGTACACAATTCAGGATTAAGTATGCAAGTGGAATCTTCTCTTCTTATATATGGTACTTATTTCATTGAAGTCATATACTAAAACATTCTCTTTTATCTAATTTTCCGTTTGTTTTCTAGAGGCTGTGTAGAATGGCTTACTCGGTTGAAATTGATGGTAATGACTATTTGGAATATCCTTTCGATATACAGAAGGCACTTTAAAAAAGATAGATACCATTGGCCTGCCTGTATTTATATATGGAAATATCTGCTGATGACCAATCAACAGTGATTGATAATTCTTGATCCACATATAAAATCAAGTACTTCAATTAACCAAATACTTATTGAATACTTATTATATGCAAACCTTTATACTCATATAATGTGAGACTCCAAGTTGAGTGAGACGCAATTCACATGTTAAGAGACTACAATATAGTGAAGCACAGAGGGAGAGAATGTGGATTTTGTGTCACAGCTGGTTCTAATCTAGACATTGTGCAAATCACATAATCGGCCTTTGCTTTGATATCTATTTCTGCATTATGGGGATAATTAAAAATATTGATCTTTGAGGCTATTTTTAACTGATGTCTTAGTAGACTACATGTGTACGTTTTAGATGCTAGTCAGAAAATTGCTCTGCAGTCCAAATGTAGGAGAAACCATGCTAAAGTGAGAATTTTTGGAAATGCTTTAGGAAGAGATGATGTTTGAAATATAGTTATGAAGCACTGTATAGTTCAGATTTTAAGAGAGAGACATGAAGGCAGAAAAGTAGCGAGTTAAGGGAACAACATAAGGCAAGAAGTGAGAAAAAAGAATGTATAAGAATAGCTGGTAGAATAGAGGTAGGAAACTGAAGGATTTTTATAGTTTATGTAGATAAAAGTAAAGACTTGTTAGCTTCAGAAAAATGCTTTGAGTAAGTATATTAGCCAGTGAACTTTTGGTTGCAGGTGGTAGAACCCGACTCAGATGGGGCCTAAGCATGAAAGGAATTTATTGGTTCGTGCCATCTAAAAATCCCTAAGTAATATTGTATGTGGGCATCTCTTTGTAAATTTACCTCTGTTTTCTTCTGTGCTGGCTTTATTCTCAGCCATTAAACAGACACTGTCATAGCCTATTTCCAGCCATGCATACACTTTTTTTTTCTTGGTAACCTAGTTTTTTTCAGCCATTCACTCCTTCATAAGAAAGAGGAAGTTTCTGATTAACTTAAACCGATTCTGGTGGCCCAATTTCTCTTGCCAGAAATTGTTTTAGAGTGGGCTTGTGCTGCAATTCTGGCATATTGAGCAGGTTATTGAGACCTGCTAGAAAGTTTTTTTCCGTCTATAGAGCAGTTTCAAGAAAAGAAAGGTTTTCTCCATTATATTATACGACAATAGGATTTAAAGAGCTGCTATAGCCATTTTATTGCTAAAAGGCAGATAAACTGATGAAAAACAAAAGAAACCAAGGAAAGAAAAAAAGAGTAAAGAAATAGGCAAAGAAATGCTACTTATATGTCCCCAGAGAATTATTTTGCCTATGAATTTCTCATTATGTCTGGTTATTTTTTTCCCTTTATTTTATAAGCTGTAAATCCAGATTTTCTGATTCTCATAAACAAGTATAACTCATGGGTATATCCAGTCAGAACAGGAAACCTAAGGAAATCTTTTTCTCCTGAGCTCCAGTTAAAGTCTTGGGATACTTCTTCCCTGCTTCCTACCCCTCACCTCTTGGGATACCACTCATAAGGGCAACTTCTGTCACATATTTATCTGTAAGCCAGTTTCTCTGGTCTTGGGCCCGCCCTAGAACTGTGGATGGAGCAGCCTTCCCATCCTCAACAACAAATTACCTAGACTAAGAGTGAGAACCAGAAAAATGGGAGTTATTACCAAAATAAATGTGAACAGATTCTAGTTAGGCCAAATCAACAGATGTCCATTATAGTAAGCTTTTAACATGAGGATATTTATTTATTATTATTATTTGTTCACCTGCTATATGACTGAAACTTTTAAAGTATTTGTGTATGTTTTTCTCTAGAAAAGTCGTGCTATAATTTTTGTTAGCAGGAAACTTGGAAGCTGCTGAGGGGAAGCCTAGACTACTTATGGTGGTTCCTCAAATGTATCAGGTGGAATAAATAGTTTGAGGTGTTTACAGATCAGTTTAGTCCAGGTATTTTGACCCAGCAATGAATGTTGGATGATTAGTAACTACACTTAGTCAAGTGAATTGGGTTCAGGAACCAGAGACAAATTTGTCATGCTTCCGGTAGCTTAACCTCTATCTTCTTAACATCAATGGTATTTTGCTTCTCCCCATTTCAACCACCTGATCGCATGGTCATGTACTAGTTCTTGTTATTACCAAATTCCCTATCCCTGAAACATTTTTCTTCCACACTTTTGACCATTACATCCTATTTTTTCAGTTCACTTATTCTCATGTTCCTCATCTTTCACCTGTTTAAGCTTGATGAGACCCCAAATCAGTTGACTAGATTACTGTTTTCAATAGCTATTACTTCCTACTCACGACACTTAAAACATTCTTTCCTTAATCTGTCTAGAGTCCTTAGTCTAGCACGATAATAAATTCTCTTGCCAACACTCTTAATAGGTTCTCATTTGCCTTCATTTTACTTTCCCTGCCAGACCCCTGCCCTGGTTAAATGCATCTGGTATCTTATGCCACATCTTAACCAGAGCAAATGAATGAATGGGTAGGATTTCTCCACATTGTTCACAGTATTTACCTCAAATATATCACTAAAATTTCACAGGCATGTTTATCATTGGCAGACAGTACTTCAACTATTTCCTGGCAAAATTCTTATTAACTGAGAAAACTATTTAATACCCTATTTTCTTTCCTTAAATTCTCAAGATTCCTGGATCCATTCTCCACTTTTCAAAGTATTCTCCTTCCATAACAGTTCAGAGAGAAAATACATGCAATTAGATTACAACTTACTTGTTAGCTTTGCATCCCTAGTTCTACTAAACCATCTGCATCTATTTTCATTTTCTGCTATTCCTTGTATATAATAAAGTAATTGTCTGAGCTCATAATCTAAATCCAGCTCTAGCACTTGTGTTGGGGATTCCACATGATCTTACCTTTTCCCAAGGACTTTCCTTCTCTAAATAGCTCCTTGATCATCAGTATATGGTGATCTGTCGGATTATAAATACCAGCATTATACTATCCTTTAATAACACTTACTAAAAATCAGACCAAATCAAATGGCTCCCTTTGAGCACATTACTTCTCTGGCTACCATGCTATTTATTGACTCCCCTACACAAAAAACTCACTGCTTCCATTTTATCTCTGCTTTCACTTCCTCACCTCTCATTTTTTCCTCCTCAAA